CTTACGTAAAACAGCATCGAAGTAACGGTAAATAGAAACTCTGAATCACGATTCTCCAAATATGCTGTCTCTGTAGAGCGATTGGTCAGGTCCGTTGAGGTTTTTCAACTGGATAAAAATTTGAGACAAACAGTGCAATTTCAGGGTCTCTGCAGATTTTCAGATCCTGTCCACCGCTGCTCAAGAATTCATTTAACCACTCAGCGTGTAGTTTTCATCCCCGAAAGCACGTGAATGATACGATAAATGGGTTTCTAGTTCAGAAATCTTAAACCTTAATAAATTTGCTTCCGATTCGTTTAGCTTTTCTTCAGTCTCTTTCAGCTTCTCCGACAGCTGCCTGTTGCTTTCCTCTATTTTTTGAAGCTTCTTCTGCGCCCCCAGCATTTCCACTTGAATCCTAAGAAACACAGCGAGTCTGTTAAGTAAAAGCGGGTCTTAATTTTCGAGAACCCATTGAATCTGAACACAGCAACCAAGTTAATAAACCAGCTAGCTTACGCAGAACTTAATAGATGAATGACATTCCTCTTTGGCAAGCCAGTAAACCGCCAGGCTTCATACTTACAATTGATAAACTTTGCATTAGTGGAAACTTGGAAAACACCGGTTGCAAATCTGTCAATAACTGCAGTAAAAGAGCTTATCTACTGAAGGTAGCTAAAAGAGCGCTCCTGTCAAATCTGGCTGTAAATCAGATCAAAAGCGTCTAAAAATTTATGATTCATGACACCGATACTGGAATAAATTAACTAGACTCACATTGAACCAGAAATGAGAAGGAAGAAAATTTTTGACCTAACTCAGCTAGCCTGTGCTCATGAATTAGTAGAATGTAAAACAGATATGGTCGTTCTCTAAAGAGAATTTTTATGGAGGTTCACACAAAATTCATGCCGAGAACATGTGCACCTTCATTTGCAAAACTTTGTTAAAAGCAATTTTCATGCTCATCAATGCTTACAGTGATCAAGATCTCGCCAAATTCCTTATTATTTTTCATTGGTACTAAGGACAGCTATAGAGGCCTCGCCTTCTCCAATCTTTTCGAAAAATGATGAAAATAAAAAAAAAATATGCGTGTAAACCTTTCATCACGTTCCCTTATTCCTTGCATTTCCTTTACTACAGCGCCCAATTTATCATTTTCGCCAGTCAGCTTCTTATTTTCGATAGTCAGTCTGCTTACAGTTTCTTCTAGATCACTGAACTGCTCGCGAGATTTCACCATCCATTTTTCATCGTGCTGTTTTAAGCGATGTTCGAATTCTTGCTTCTGCTTCATTAGAGCCTGATCCTGTTCCTGTCGTAACGACTGCTCCCTGCTTTTCCAAACTGCTTCGCGTTCCTCCAAAAGCTTTTTAACTTCCTGCTTTTGATCGCTGTCCCTTTCGCTCAGTCCACTCTGTTCCCTTAACAGTTCACCCGCCAAACGGGCATTCTCGGCCATTAATTCGCTTACCTGAAAAATTTATTTACCGTCCACCACATGCATACAGACACACAAACAGCCAACTGGCTCATGCCTAAAGCTCTTTGAGGACGAAGCTGCGAACTTATCTAAAGCAAATTCATCTGCAAAATTCCACACTGTTTTGTGCTTGAATAATCATACTGGTAGTGCAAAATGCAGTAACACATTTACTACCGCCTTTTTTTTTTTTAATAATAGCATGACAAATGAGCCGCAGAGAAATCTGCACTAGTTGCTGTGTCTAGTATTAGGCGCTGGCATTGTCTGCCTTTAAAAACCATTCCATGCCAGCGTTATATACGCTTCATACTTTTCCCGAAGAACCCCTACCTTTCTTTTGACATCGGGCGATCCGTTTCTTTTATCATTGCCGTGCTGCTTAAAAGCATCCAGTTCACTACTCAGTTCTGCATTTGCCAACTTCAGATGCTCAATTTCGCGTAACAATCCACTACGTTCCTTTTCTGCAAGCATGCAACAATTACTCTTCTGGGTAAGAATCGGAACTAGTACTTAGAAAGGACGTGATTGGTTAGTAGCTTGCTAGTAGTACCGCAGGTTTTTAGCTTTTAAAATGTAAAAGACTATGAGTTGTGAGTGATCCCTGATGGAAACAGAGAAAAAACATCAACTGTAAAAAAGATGTAGAGTAAAAAATTCGAAGTAACTTTTCGTGATCACACTGTTAACTTTGTCAAATAAGCTAGCTGCATAAAAAGCAGCGTCTTAAGCACACGAAAAACATAGTCTACTAAGTGCAGCATGATGATACAACTGCTGGCCGCTGACAAACATCATGGGCCGTACTCACAGCAAGAAAGAAAGCAATCACACAAAGAAAACGAGGTCCGACAATTCAAGTAAGTTTAATGAAATATACAGAAAAAGGATTTGAATCAGATATTACGAACCAAGGTCAGTGACTCTTTTTTGCTCCATTTCAAACAAATTGTTGAGTCGTGTTTCGGTTTCTCCATTAGCTTCTTTTTTTGCATTTGCTTCATTTCTCTCACGTTCAAACTTCCTTTTCTCCTGTAAGAAAAGAGTGTTAATTTGCGCATATAGTTTATTCAGCCATCACTTAACCTCCGCAGACCTAAAAGCTGTTTGAAATTCCCATATTTCGCTACCAGTACCGTAAAACAGTAATGCTTTCCAGAAAAAAAACCCTACATTCTGCGTCTGCATTGTGCATTTATTATAAGTAACCTAAAAGAAAAAAAAAAAGGCATTTCCTCAACAAAAAGAATGAAAGCAGGAGATATTAATGAATACAGGAACAA